TTAGAAGTTGTCAAATTTATTTCAAAAAGAATTTTTGTAATATGCTTTCTATATCCTTTTAAATTCTGGAAATCTGTGTTAATGTCCTTTAAATTTTGATATTGTAATTTTCAAACTGTATCACCGATATTGTGTAATAGGAAGAAAAGGTCTAAAGGAGTAGGGGAAGTGGGAAGAATAGGGGAAAGGAAAGGAGGGAAAAGAAAAATTATGAGAAAAGGAAAAAAATGGAAACAAAGTCTTTGCAAATAGAGAAGGGTGGAGGGGATGAAGGGAGGGCAGAGGAAGGGGAAAAAATAAGAACATAAGAAGATACATCATGTAGAGGCACAAGATCCCAATGATGAATGTAACTGTATTTTATATCTAAAATGTATCAATAAGCTTAATGGAAAAAAACCCCATCTTATTACTCAAGGTCCAAGCAGAACCACTAGGAGAGAAGGACATAGATTGATTGATTTATAGAGATTTGGCCTTGTATAGTTATGGGGCTATTTAAGTCTCTGTAAAGCTCTTTTCTGATGCTGCAGCTATGTTCTACAAAGCATGATTTTATAAATGGACATAAAGTTGGGTAGATTGAGCTCAAAATAGAATCCCTCAGGACAAATTGGAACGTATATTAGTTTCTCACCCTGTCTGATTTTTTTTTTATGATTAGATGTTGTATAGGAAAATCTTACATTCTTTACCATGGAGCTAAGCACATACCAGAATATGAAGACTCTGAGGAAGGATCTGGGGTGGTTGACCCTCCTTAAACATACACCAAAGGACAGGAATACTGGAAAACATAGTTTAGCCTAGCCAAGATAACATATTTCAAAATCACCAAGTGTATACTTTTCAACTAGGCACCCATGTGTTCCTCTTTAATTTATACTGAGCTTCCAGATAAAGGTAACAAAATCATAGTTCTGCCTCCCATGATGCAACTATCCTGATTCAAAAAAGTACTAACCTTTTCCCCTAAAAAGAATAAAAGTCTCTTTTCTACCTTTGAATAATATTTATTCCTCTTTTAGTTCTTCTGTGAGGTTAGGCTCATGTCTCCTTTCATAGCATAAACCTTAAATAATAAGATATAAAGTTAGCTACTATAAACTCATCTTGTGCTAGATGGCAAAGGAATGAAAGAAAAGAAAATTTGAATGGATGGATAGGTAAACGCAATCATGCATCACTAATGACAGGATTACATTCTGAGAAGTATAGTATTAGGCAGTTTCATCTTTGGGTGAAGATCATATTATAAATTTCAGAAATTTAAAGAGAGTAACATGAGATGTATGAGGCTTGTATAACATAGTATACTGGTTTAGAGTATTTTTTTTACATAAGCAAGAGCATAAAAATTATAGCATAGTAAATACACAAACCTACTGGTCAGTCATTTGTTATAATTTTCCAGAATTGCCTATTGTATTGTTTCCAGAATTGCATAATTGTATGTGCTATATTTTTATGCAATTGGAAGCACAGTAGCTTTCTTTACATCAGTATTACCATGAACGGTAATAACATTGTGATATGATATTACAACAGCGACAATGTCATTAGGCAATAGGAATTTTTCAGCTTCTTCAATAATCTTATGGAACCACTATCAGTTATGCAACCCAACCCCAAGAAAAGCATTATTATGCAACACGATTCTACTTCCACACATGTATATGTGTATGCAGATTTATATCACATTAAACATGAAATAATCCTATTACAATCATTTTGCTACTGTTCATGTGATTATAATTGGTATTTGTATAATTACCTTCTGCCTTTTCCCATGTTTTCTTTGCCATCAATTGGTTTTGACTCCTTGTGTGGTGAGTAAACCATTTGGGATACTAGTAGTAACGCCTGTGGTGGGAATGTTTTCTGTTGACTTTAATCATAGAACATGGGATTACTTAGCCCTGTCCTCCCCAAGAAATTTCCTGCTTTCTAGACATATTTTTTCCTTCACTTCATTGTGTAGTCAGGATAACTTATTCACCCCTGCCAGGAGAGTAGATCCTTTATCTACCTGTTGATTCACTGAACTGAGGAGCCCTAAGTGGCCAAATGACAGTCTCAACTTCAAGCTTCACGGAGAGATTGTCAGGCCCCCCGATGGAAGCACTTCTACTTTTGGAATTCAACGACTCCCCACCCCCACCCCCACCCCTAATTCAGCAACGTGTGAAGCCTGGGAAGCAGATGCTACTGACATCTAGTGGTAGAGGCCGGGGATGCTACTAAACGTCCTAACATCCCCTGATGCACGACTCTCCCACGACAGTTAACCGACCCCAAGTGAGACTATTGCTGAGGTTGAAAAAGCTTGCTTTAGGTCAGCAGAGTCCAACGTCCTGGAGATAGGAAGTGAATGTTTTTCTAAGGGGCCACTTGAGGTAATAAGGAGAGAATCTCGTTTCCTTTTGTATCTGGTTCGCATTGCTGTGTGCTGGTGTGTGTGTGTGTGTGTGTGTGTGTGTGTGTGTGTGTGTGTGTTTATGAAAAACTATGTAGGGCCGGGGATGTAGCTCAGCGGTTCCGGCGCCTGCTGCGCAAGCGCAAGGTCCCGAGTTCGATCCCCGGTACCAAAAAAAGAAAAAGAAAAAAAATATGTAATGATTCGAGTTACATAATACAGTTCTTCCACCTGAAGAGGAGATACTATTGGTTTTTATCACCTTAATTTTTCTTTTAATTTTTAGTAGCGATTCAAGTACAAAGAAAGTGATTGCCTACACTATAAACACAAAAAGTAGAATTTCCCTGGAGGAGACGTGTGGCTGCAAACAATTGCCTTGATTCTTTGGTAGAGTGGACACTGATTCGTGCTAGGACTCAATCTTTTTTTTTTTTTTTTTTTTGGTACTGGGGATCGAACTCGGGTCCTTGCGCTTGCGCAACAGGCGGCAAAACCACTGAGCTAAACCTCCAGCCCAAGGAATGAATCTTTTAAGCCACAGTAGCAAGTCAGGTTCTGTCTTTGGCACGATCAGCAGTTTCTGTTACGTATTCCCTTTTTCGGCTTCATACTAAGCAAAACTGAACGATTCTGTTTTCCAAACATGCTTTACTTTACTATCTTCTTTCAACTAATGCCTATTTACCTCCCAATTTCATCCATTCCTGTGGAAATTATATCAAGACTGAACTCAAATCCACCCCTTTCAAGTTTTCTCAACCGCATGTGCTCTCCCCCAAACTCTTCCCACTTGATGCTTTTAATTAAACAAATTTTCCTGCCTCAGTTATTTATTTTCTAATTGTAGAGACCCTACAAGTCACATTGCTTGTCTACATTTCTGTTTATTCATCTGAAAAATGCGAAATTTTACAGAGCTGTTGCTAGGGTTAAATCAGCTAGATTTTGAAATAGTCCTAAAAAAATGGGGGTGGCGTGCTCAAATCAATGTGAGATGTTGCTACCATTCCTTAGAAATGCTCTGATCGCGATCGAAGAGTTTTCACCAGAAAGAGAAGAATCCTAAGGATTAGATTTAAAAGTTCTACTAAAGAAAAATAGACTACATTGCTGCCATAATAGATAAAAAGGTACGTGGAGAGCTACCCAGCGAAAACTGCGCCTGCGCAGTGCGTACGGTACGCGGAGTAGAGCGGGCGTGGGCGGAGTCGCGGGGCGCGGGGCGGTGCGTGCGCGTGCGCGGGCGGCGCGGGCGGTCCGGCATACTACGTGGATTCCTCTGCACGCGCGCGGCCTCACCCTGAAGCTCCGGACTGGTGAGGGGACGGCCACTCGCTTGGGGCATGGATTTTGAAAATCTTTTCTCAAAACCTCCCAACCCGGCCCTCGGCAAAAGACCGGCCTCGAACGCTGACAAAAGGTGACCATCCCTCATCTTTACTCTTTCAGTGTAGGTCCCCGGCGGGGCCCGCCCCTTCGTCCCGGCGGAAGCCCTGTCGGTCGCGCGGGGCCGGTGTCGCCGTGGTGAGGGCGCGCGAGGCCTGGGCAGAGGAGGCTGGAAGACAGGACCCAGGCTGGGGGCCGCCGCGGCGGGGATGCCGAGAGATCCCGGGGAGTTGGTGTTCGTTCCTGCGCACCTGCCCCTGCAAGCCCTTGGCCCCAAGCTTGCCGGCGTGTCCTACACCATCCCCGGCAGAGGTCGTTCGCGGCTTCTCTGACACGTGCGGGGACCAAACCACGTTTATTAATCGGTAAAGAATAAGGAATGAGAACCCGCAAGTGGTCCATTGATTCTCATGAAAAGATCCCAGAGACCAAAATAAAGTAGCAAATAACAGGGCGTGGTGGCGCCTGCCTGTAATCTAAGCACTCGGGAGGTTGAGGCTGGAGGATCGCCGTGAGTTCGAGGGCAGCCTGGCTACCTAGCGAGCCCCTGTTGTGAGGGGAGCAAAACTCAGCAATCACCATTTGGATTTAATATATCCTTTTATGTTGAAAAAGCAAGTTAAGATTCCTGGATAAATGGTTCTAATCTGTTAATCTCCTTTTTGAAGCCGGGGATTTGGAGATGTGTGTAGTTTACACACAGATGTTCATTCACTTTTTATTCTTTGAGCTCGAAGTGTTGAAGACCTTCTCTCTCAAACCTGTTTCCCTAGTTTTCCCTAAGTTGAAACCCTACAATACATCATTTATTCGTTAATTTCTCACATCCCAGACATACCGCCAATTCAGGTTTGTTTTACCTCTTGATATCACTCTTGTCTGTTCACTTCTTTCTCTGTAACACCTTAATTGAAATTATTACATTAATTCAGGCTGCTATTAAGAGCTTTGCTATGTACTTTATGTGAACTACATTACATAATCCTCACAATAACCTTAACGAGAATGTTGTTTTTACAAATGAAAAAATTGAGGCACAGAGAAGTTAAATAACCTGCAAGATTGTACAGTGTAAGTGGCAAAGAAAGGTTGAATTGCTCAGACAGTGTGATTTTAGGCCCCATGATTCCATCACCTAGCTTCCAAAGCCAAACTGTCGCAGTAAAATAAGACCTGTAAGGGTTTAGAAAGACACAGGTATTACTGTGTGTGGACGATATGAACATCTGAGAAAAACAAGAGAAACTGATAAAACATCAGAGAATTCAACAAAATGAATCTCAAGATAAAAAAAAAATTTTTTTAAAGCTACCAGTTTGAAAATGTATTGGATGAACAATTCCTTCACAAAAGCTTGACTGAAAGTAGCAAAAAGATAACTGGAGGTGGCTGTGATGGTGCATATCTGTAATCCTGGGCCCCTGGGAGGCTGAGATTGCACATTCCAGCCCAGCCTGAGCAGGTTAGCCACCTGGTGAGACTCTGTCTCAAAAAATAAAGAAACAACTGGGACTGTAGCTCGGTGTGAAGGTGCTGGGTTAAATCCTCAGTGCTGGTCAGGGAAATTGGGGGAGAGAACACTTCGAAGAGATAGGTGAAAGATGGTATGGAAATAGGATGAACTGTTTATTCATATCGTTTGCCCTTTTTTCTCTTTGACTGTTGATCTTACTCTTTCAAATTTTATGATCTCTGCAAATATTTTACTCACATTTTGTCTTTTGATTTTGCCTATGGCATTAATTTTCAGTGTGTTAAAAATAGGATTTTTTTTTGCTTTATTCTGTGCCACTCAAAAGGGTCAATCTTTCATAGTTTCTGGGGCTTTTTTTTTTTTCTATTTTGTGATGAAAATATTAAACTTTTTTTTTCTCAGTTTTATTGAGCACATGCTGCATGGGCAATTCTAGGCCCAGGGGTTATAGCAATAAATGAATGAAAGATATTAAAACCTTGCTGTATAAAATGTATACTATAGGAGAGAGGAGGAGACAGACTATATAAATGTATGGTGTTTTAGATAATAAATGCCATGGAGAAAATGAAAGCAGAGTAGGGGGTTAAGAAGTACTAGTAGGAGGGAGGGAGGGTGTTGATATTTTAAAGAAGATGATTGAGGAAAAGCCTTAGGGATAACTTTAATAAGTAGTATCTTGAGTCAGAACCGAAAGGAAGTGAAGGATGTTAGTGCGTGGGAAGTAGAGTGTTCTGTGTGGGGATAAGGAGGTGGTGGGGTGTGGTGTAATTGAATGCAGTTAAGAGCCCCTCAGGTCTGCAAGATACTGGGGATGGTTTGGGGAGGCAGCTCAGGTAGGGACTTAAAGGTACCACAATGACTTTGGTGTTTACTCTGATTGAGATGAGTCCACTGGAGGGCTTTCAGCAAGGAGCGACACTATCTGATGTTTTAGCAGAGTCACTCTGGCTGTGGTTGAGGGTAGACTGTAGGGGAGCCAGAGCAGCTTGGATCATTTATTAACAAGAACTAGTTAAATATGGGTATATTTTAAAATTAGAACAAACTGAATTTCCTCGCAGATTTGGATGGGAGTTGTGAGAGAGTAGTCTAGATCTACTCAAGGTTTTGATTAGAATCATTAGAAGGATGGGGTTGCTGTTAAAGACACAGCAGGAGGGTTTGGTTTCAGAGAGATAGGGTTCAGTGTTGGGTATGTTAAAATTATGTCTGGTTGAGGTCGAAGAGGATATGTTGGGTAGGAAATGGATATGTTTGTTTTAAGGGGAAGAGTCTGAGTTGGAGACTTGAATGTTGAAATTAATTACGTTAGATTTGATTACAAGCCATGGAATAGAAGATCACTAGCAAGAGTACAAACAGTGACGAGAAGAGGTATGAAGACGTTTAGAGTTGTAAAGATGAGGAACCAACAAAGGAGACTGAGAATTAGCAGCCAGTGAGGGAAGAAGAAACCAGGAGAGCTCAGGAAGCCTGAAGATGGCTTAAAAATGTGTTTTAGGCTCAGTGAAGTACACCTATAACTCCAGGACTCTAGGAGGCTGAGGCAAGAGGATCACAAATTCAAGCCCCGTCTGGGCAATTTAACAGCTTGGTGAGACTGTTTGAAAAAAAGGCTGGGGAATGTAGCTCAGTGTAAAGGCCCTGGGTTAAAGTTCCCTAAAATTGTTTTATAAACAAGAAGGTGGTCAGCTCTGTCCTATCCTACTCATCAGTCAGTTCATATGAGAGCTGAGACTTGTGGCCCTTATTGTAGTGGTAAAAGTGGACACAGATTTGGAGTTGGCAGTGTCAGATAATAGTGTGGTTTCAGGACACACACTTGTTCACCATTATCTTATTTTTCCATCCCTTCGTTTATGTTAGGTTCATTTTTAATATTGTTCGCATGTTCTCAAGTAATTAGCTATACATTTCTATGCATGATAATCACATTCTTGTGAGTCTGAAAACAAATTTTTCACCTTTACACTTGAATATATTTCTCCTAACCTCAGAAGACACCCCATATTCTGCCTGAAATACCCTTCTCTCTCACATTCTTCTTTGCTAACTTCCGATCTTTTAGATTCAGAAACCCTCTGGCCCTCAACTGTAGGTTTATAATATGTACCTCTACTTACCACACTGTATTGAAATTGCTTTATATTTTTTTCCCAAGCAGAAAGCTCAGGAAGCAGAAATAGGTTTGTCTTTTTCATTGTTGTATCCCAGGATATAAAAGCCTAGAGCCTGGTATATGGTGACTATATTTGTATTTGTTGAAAGAATGGAATGCTGGATGGATGAACGATTTATAGCAGCTAATTCTTAGACATTAAGAATGTGTGTGGCTCATGTAATCCAAAATTTTTATTTTACAGGTTATTCGTAAATGTTGACATTTACTACTCATAACTGTATAAATTATATACCTGGAGAATTTCGAGTAGACTTGTAATTTTTAATTTCTTTGAGGGCACATATAAAGACAAACCAAAGCAGTAAATATAATGTAATATGAACCTCTTCTGTGCTGAAGAAATACTTTTGTGTTATTTGATATTTTTGCTGCAGATTCGATGATGAAGTAGATGATACAGAAGTTGAAGAGGCTCAAGAAGAAAAAATAAAATGGGAGGTTAAACTGGAGTACGAGCAAATTCCCAAAAAAGTAAGGTTAAGTTGAATTATTGCAAAGAGCTGGGAATGGATGTGAGAAATTAATGAGGGGTCCTATTTGTCTTAGCACAGTCAGCATTTGAAGCCAGATTAACTTCGATCAAGGAAATTTGGTTACACTTTTTAAAAAAGTTTTCATTCAGTAACTTTACTATCATTTAGCATGGACTTTTTTTTAATAATTGCTTTTATTTTGGTTTTCCCTAATTTTTTTTCCCATATCCCATATTATTATCCCAGATGGATAGTGTGTAAGTTTGATATTCCCTGTTTCTGAAATGGATTGTAAACTGTTAAAAAAAAAATTCCCTTTCAAATTACATTAAAAATTTTAAGTATTTTGGTATGCTGTCTTAACCAGTTTTAGTAATTTGTAGCTTAATTTGTAGGGTTGTCAGTAACAGAGTACCATCAACTGTGTGGCTTAAACAGAAATTCATAGTTGTGTAGGCTGAAAGTCTGAGAACAATACATGGACAGGGTTGGTTCCTTCTGAGGTCAGTGAGGAAGAATCTGTTCCAATCCTTTCCCGTAGATCCTGGTGGGTTGCTGGCAGTCTGCCGTATCCCTTAGTTCTTAAAAGCATTGCTCTGAACTCTGCTTTAATATTTATTTGACATTCTCCCCATGTGTCTGTATCTGACTATCCCTTTTTTGTAAGGACACCAGTCATTGTATTACAGCCTACCCTAGTGACCTCATCATGATTAATTACATGGGCATTGACCTGATTTCCAGATAAGGTCTCATTATGAGTTTGTTTTGTTTTTGTTTTGTTTTTTTGGTACTGGGGATTGAACTCGGGTCCTTGCGCTTGCGGGGCAGGCAGCGGAACCACTGAGCTAAATCCCCAGCCCCCGTTATGAGTTATTGAGTGTTAGGGCTTCCATGTAAGAATCTTAGGAGGACATAGTTCAGCCCATTACAAAGCCAATATCTGCCACTTTTGCTTTTTTCTTTTTGAATTTTTTGTTTTAATTGTGAATTTTAGCACACTACATAAGAATGGGTTTGGATTAGCAGTGAGACTCAATAAGGCACATGCAAGCTTTGACAGTACTTTCACTTAACCTTGTAAAAGGATATAGGACTGAAGGTAGCGCAAGCACAGCACCATCATCTCCTTGGGAAACCTCTCAGCTATCCAAGAAAACTTGTTTTGCCCTTTTAGAACATATATGGCTACCTTAGGCAAGAGCTGAGGTTGACACTGGGAAACTGCAAATTCAGCTTCCCCAGTACTCCCAAATTCATTCCTGGAAGCAAGCATCACCTTGATCCCCAAAGCAGAGAAAGACCCAACTGAAAAAGAGAACTATAGGCCAATCTCACTAATGA